GGGCCCGCGGCTTGAGTAGTTCGTGGGGTCATATGAACGATTTCATAATGTTAAATGGATGATTTCTTAAGATAAGAGATCTTGTGAACTGGTAATAGAGTCTATTGCTGTAAGCCTAGATAGGATGCGGAGAGTGCATCCTCGGGGGCAGAACCCGAAACCCGTCCGGGTAGGCGAGGCACTTTGTTAGGTAAGTAATTTGTACTAATTACTTGCTGAAGCCTGTAACATGGTTATTTTCAGTTATATTTCCTTTGAGAAAAAGGATGTGAGGTTCCGGCTGTTCTGTCGGGACTGAATGTCTTATTTTATTTATGTGTTCAATTATTCATTCATACGCTCATTTATTTTAAATATTTCAAATTATATCCTACTGGGCCTTTCGCTCACGTTTTATATTTTAAATGTTAAACCCCTCCCAGGAGACTCGAGGAGCGGTGCACAGTAGTTGGATATTTGCTACGGAGCAGCTGAGTTGTGCTGCTGTTGGAATCAAGTGAGGATCGTGAACATCCTCTTGGACAAATGTAAGGAATTTGAGAATTCTGTAAACTTATGTAATATTTGGATTTACTAGACTGTGGTTGATGTCTGTTGTAATGATTAATTACATGAGCATGTATGTACGATACTGTATGTCCTGTGGGGTGGAGCCCTGTGTGCCAGAGGCTCCTGGATTATGTAATTCATTTATATTTTAATGCAGTTAAGTGTGGGGCCCGGTCTGGGAATCTGCTTTATTAATCCCTAATCGAGCTCCACGTCACCCACCCCGTTTGGGGGGCGTGACAGTTACTTTGTATGCCGGGATTTTTCTTATTTTCTTCCCTTTTTTTCAAACCTTTTGTTTAAAATTTTTTCTAAGATTTATTCCTATTGATTTTAATCTCTGTCTACTGTCATTTTATTGCACTTTGTTTACTTTTTTACTTTGTTCGTTCTGAAATATATTCTTTTTATTGTATCAATGTATATTGTTGTTCTAAACTATACTAATTTTTCTTACTTATGGTATAAACTCTTTAATAATATAGCTGGCAGTCATGTATGTTGGTAGATCATTTTTCAATTACTCATGATATATGTTCTTGACAATAAAGGATTATAACCTGAACCAAATATTTATATACAATCTTATGTTTTTTCAAATGTTTCTTGATTTTTTTATGGTCTGTGCTCAATTTATAGTATAATATGAAGCATCTTTTTTTTTTGTACACAAATTTAATGTATATATATGATATGTTAGTGCAACTAAGTATATTGCAGAAATTATTTGATTTCTATACTAATTTTTCTTACTTATGGCATAAATTCCTTAATAATTTAGCTGGCAGCCATGTATATTGGTAGATCCTTTTTCAATTACCCATGGTATATGTTCTTGACAATAAATGATTATAACATGAACCAAATATTTATATACAATCTTATGTTTTTTCAAATGTTTCTTGATTTTTTTATGGTCTGTATTCAATTTATAGTGTAATATGAGGCATTTATTTTTTATGTACACAAATTTAATGTATATATATGATATGTTAGTGCAACTAAGTATATTGCAGAAATTATTTGACTTTTCTTCTTTTTTAGAATTTACTTTTTATATACTATATTCAATTTGTGATAATCAAATATTTTCTGATTGTGTCTATTTTGAGCAGATTTGGTATTTTCTTATCTCCATAATTTACTGCTATGCTTGAATATCAATTGTTTCCTGCTCAAATATCTAATCTGATTTGGTTAGCTAACATTTGATATAGGCGACATATCGCATCTCTCGTTGTTATCTGTGCACCAGACTAGGGCAGGCGGCATATCGCCTCTAATCAGGCAACATATCGCCTGGAGGCAGCGACATATCGCCGCAAAAGAAGCGACATGTCGCAGCTCTCGCTGTTCCTTCGTACAAGTTTGCTCGATATTTTTGTGCCGCATTGCCATCTGAAGGTGCCATATCACCTCGTTCTCTGTCTTTTTGATCCAAAATGCCTCAAAAC